AATATGGACCTAGTGAGCCCTAATTACCTAACCAGCCAAGTTCTACTCAGCCAAGCACTCGTACCCCGAAGACTTTAGGAGATTGGGTTGTTGATTTCATATAGAATATGGCCAGATTTAATACTTTTTGTGAGGAATGTAAATATTAGCAGTAAGGAATATCACACTGTGTGGCCTATATAATGGATATATAATACCATCAATATAATTATGCTTCCGAATTCAATGAAGCATTAGTTGGGATGTTCATTAAAATTCCATTTGTGGAGAACCCTAACCAGCGTTATTTCTCACTTACTCTTAATAATTATGACCCTTATGTCCACCAGCCACCAACAACATCAGATGATAATGATGATGATGAGCAGGAGAAGGAATAAGATTGGGACTTATGATGAGATTGTTGGATTTTGTTTTTCTTTGTTTTTATGTTTCTTTGCTTGAGAGATAGAATGGTGTTGATGATTATTATTATTATTAAGAGAGTTATTACTTAGCTTTGCATGTTTGACATTCTTGAAACTTATATGTTTTTTTATGATTCCAAATATTATTATTTTGATTATTATTTTCTCCTAACACATTTTGGAAGAATTGTTTTGCTCTTGTGTGTACTAACATTTCAGGGAAATCATACTCCGCATTGTTGAAGACTTCAAATCAAAATCAGTTTAGAGTTATTATAATTTTAAAGTCTATATTTTTTATTTTATTGAGTCTGAGAGAGTGTGATTGTAATTGAGTAGCTGAGCACACACACACTAGGGGAGAGTTCTAAAATTCACATTTTTAAACTGATCGTACAATACAAAATTAATTTGGATGGGATGATTTGGTCAATTATTTTCCTCAACGAGCAATGGAGCAAACAAAAAATATCAAAATTTTTTCTAAGTATAGATCATACGAATGATATTTTTCATTCATACTGGGATGATATCCTCTAATTCGACCTCGAACACTATTTGTATGGACTATATTTTTCGTTCGTACTAGGATGATCTCATCTAAATTAACCTTGAACACTATTCATATGGACGATATTTTTCATTCGTACCGGGACGATCTCCTTTGGTTCGACCCGAAATACTATTCATACGGACAATAATTTTTTATCATGCCAGGACAATGGGCTCTGGAGCTTGCACGAATGAAGTTCGTACGAATGATATTTTTTAATCAGACCAGGATGATGGGCTCTAGAGCATGCACGAATAAAGTTTGTACGGATGATATGTTTCGATCGTACCGGGACGAAGGACTCTGGTGTGCTTTCATTCATTTTATCATGATGCTTCGTACATACACATTTTGACATTTCTTCAGTTCATACCAGACGAACATAGTTCGTATCGGACAATAATCAGGTACAAAATGATTTCGTATGCAACATTTTTTAAACTGTTAGTACGTACGAAATATGATCATACAGGATGATTGTGGATGGTCAAAATTAAAAAATTCAGTTTTCTAGACAGTTTTTCATGTTTTTTCTATAAAACGTCCACTAAAATCTGACCCTTAATCTTTTTGTCACTTGGTCTTCATGAATGGTTATGGGAAATTAAAAGAGAGAGTGACAAAGAGTGTTTAAAGGAGATTTCTTCCTATTGGAGCATGAAGAGTTCACTTGATTACTCAAGGGTAAGGATCTCTATGTGTTGTTTTATATTTTCTTCACTCTTTTCTCTTGTCCTTCCTGATTTTTTGTGTGAAGATCTTTCAAAAAGATCCGGTTCTCTGCTGACACTCAAGGAGTGTGAACAGCCGAAAGTTCTCTGTCTACACTTGGAGAGTGTGAATAGTCGATGGTTCTCTGCCTACACTTGAAGGGTGTAAGAGGATGAATGTTCTCTGCCTACACTTGGAGGGTGTGAAAGGATGAAGGTTCTCTGCCTACACTTGGAGAGTAAAAAAGGACGATGGTTCTCTGCCGCAGCGGGGATTGGTGGAAGAGAATTTTGTAAAGGAGAGTCACTTTGGTATAGTGCAATACCTAAAGTTGGAGACTTCAGGGAGTGGATGTAGGTTGTGTTTGACCGAACCACTATAAACCTTTTGTGTTTTTTTTTTATTTCCGCTGCGTATTTATTTTACTGCAAGTTAACTTTTCTGTGGTTGAAAAATCCTTTTTGAAAAACTTTAAAAACAACTTGCTCAAGTTCATTAATCGGTTTCCATCTTTTTAAAAAATCAAGAAAGGGAATTTTTTTTTAAATTTCCAATTCACCCCACTGCCTATTTGTTAGCCTTGGGATATTAGTTTAGGTCTAACAACCTATTCTAGAATCAACAAGATTCAACAATTATTTCATTTTACTTTCTTTGCCTATGAAGTTGTAATTGTGTAGCTCAATGGGATGTGAGCATAATTAGTTTTGTTAGTTGATGGTTACGATAGTCAAAGTAATTGAAGGTTTTATGTGTCAATGTTCATGTTTAATAGTAAGTCAATTTAGTATTTTTGTCTTATTTTATTAAATGTCTATTTTTATTGCGTTATAGGTTTATTATGTTATTTTATTATTTCATGATTTTTATGTAGTTTATAATTCCTATTTATTTAATTTTGTTTGTTTCTCCATCAATTTCAAAGGCCCTTTGATACTCATTTCGACAATAAAAAATTTTGTAATTAAATTAAAGGTGCTTAATTGAATGAGCAAAGTATAAAAATTCTTAATTTGACAATCATAACTAGCAACCAAGAAAATTTTTTTAAGTTAATTCTTCATATTATAACACCAAAGCATATAACCATTGGTTACAAGATTGAATAACTAAGTTTAGAAAAATGGACTAAGATTAATTTATAGCATTCGTTATAAACCTAATTATGGAGTTAATGAACTTATAATAATCCTTACATTTTTTCAATTTGTAACCACCAACACATATTTAAAATCATTATTTGAGTACTCATAAAAGTAAAAGGAAATAAGAGAAAAAAATTAAAGATCAAAAGAAAAAGGAAAAATGAAAAGAAAAATGGGTACTCTAACACAAAAAAATAGTATTTTATGAAGCTGAATTCCAAGAGGATTCTAATACTTAATTTAAAAAGGAAATTGTAAGTAAGCTCGTACATATGAGGTTTATAAATAAATTTCAAAATTAACTAAAGTACAAGCATTTCCTAAAGGAAAAATCATTCAACCCAACTTAGTAGTCAAACATTGTACTTACACCTATAATAAATTAGGTCAATTTAGATATTAGTGAAAATGATTCATTAGGATGTTTTTTTTATGATTGCTTAAATTAAAATTGTCAGTCTTTGATCATTACAATTCACATCTACATAGTGAAGCATTGTATTACATTTTTAATTATTTTTAATTTATAACTTTTATTTGGAATAATGAATTGATTAAAGGTGTAATCACATTGCTTGAGGACAGGTAATAATGTAAGCTGGGGGGAATTTGTTAAGTGAAGATTAAGTTTATTTTTATTATATTAAATTTTAGTAAAAATATGTGTTTTAGTTGATGTTATGCAAGAATCTCTCAAGAAAAAGTAAAAAAAAAAAAAATTAAAGTTAGATAAGCATCGTAGCGCCCAAACACCGGTGCAGTAACTCCTTCAATGCCACAACACTGGAATTAGACATCATAGTGCTCAAGTATCAACACAATTATAATTAATTCAATGCCCCAATGAAAATACATGCAGTGTCACGGTGCTACTAGTGCCTTAGCACCTCATAGGGAATACCACTGTACTCTGTTCTCTTTCATTTTTACAAATAATTCAATACCGAAGAGTCAACCTCTAGACTGCTGCATTGTTAGATGAAATGTCCGAGTGCCATGGTGCACATTTTTTATAGTGCTGAGGCGAGGCAGTTAAAAGCAATTTACTTGGGGAAGTCGCACAAAGATAGCCCAACACCACAACAAAGCCAAGTTAGTAGCGCCGAGGTACTAATTCATCATTAACATTGTTGTGCCACCTTATCGAGCATTGTGCCGCTTGAGACAGTTTGTGTGAGTAAATATAAATAGTTTTCTATTCTTTTAAGAAGAAATTAAAAAAGAGTGTGGAAAACTATTTAGTGAAGTGGCTTGTCATCTCTGTAGTGGGAAAAACACTACTCAGGAGTGGAAGATAGTGTGGAGAGCCAACAAATGAAGAGAAAATCATTCTGAAAAGAGTCCATTTGTAGGATCTATTTGGGATTCTCAAAGTAGGGTGATATTTTATTCATTTTCTTTTTTGTCTCTTTTCTTGAAAGTAAGTAATAAAATTTATTTTGCTCCAACTTAATTTTATGGTTGTCAAACTTCTAAGTTTTGGGCTGATGATGTGAATAATCTTTGTAATTTTTTTAATGTAGACTCTTGCACGCAAATGTGAATGGTTGTTCTCAATCATTATCATACCTAGTTTAATTCATACAATGGCCATGTATAAAGTTAAATTTTAGGCTTCGTTTGAGACGGCTTTTTTATTGCTTTCTAAAACGGAGTTTTAGTACAAAAATAAAAAATTTTGTACTAAAACTCCGTTTTAGAAAGCAGTAAAAAAGCCGTCCCAAACAAAGCCTTAGTGTGATACATTGTCTCAATGAAGGAATGTTGGAATAATTATGAAGATTGAGATATAAATATTTCATGACTTTAAGAAAATTTGTCTTCAATTTTAAAATTAATTTGGATTTTTAATGAATTTTATAAATCCTTGGTGATTAAGAAACATTAATGAATTGGTGAAATTTTGATTGACATTTTACATAATTATGCAAAAACTTCTTGGAAACTTCTTTTATGAGACAAATATGACTCAAAGATAAAAATTTTGAATCATTTTGGCTTCTTTTTTATTTTTTAGGATTTATTGACTTTCATGTAAGCTTAGAGTTTAAAAGTTTATTTAGTTTTCTCATTCAAATCATTTTAAACTAAATTTTCTCTAAATTTTAGATTCATTATAAATTCAAAATATTTTATTTAAAATTTGTAATATTTTATTAATGATTTTTTAAAGATTCTACATCATTTTTTTTTTGAAAATCTTCGTAGGGGCCTACACATTAATATAAAATAAGGTTACAAGGTCCTTAAAGGGAACCTTCAGCTCGTTAATGCTTGACAGAGCTACAAAAAAAAAGTTAAAAAAAAAATCTAAGAGCTGATGGCCCCCTATACTAAGATTTACAAAATAACATTATAATATTATAGGGCTACAAGTAGTCAGCATAAAAAAATGGAAGATAAGAATTAAAACATTCAGCATAGTTTTCCTACAAAACAATCTTAGCTTGACCACCAAATCCTCAGTCCAAAGAGCCTGCAAGAAAAATAGACTGCAAAATAGAACAAAGCACATCAAAACATAGTAATAACAAAGGAATTTATAACTATTTAATACTTGAAGCCAATCAGAATTATATATATTATAGGAGCAGAAATCCCAATCATTGCTAATGAAGATGATCTGCTCGCTCACATTACATACCATGAAATCAGATAACAAAAAAAAAAACAATGGCAATGGTGTATCCGATAAGGTAATGGAGCAAACCACAATAAACCGTAACCAAATAGAGCAAATAAACATAACCCGAACAAAACCATTGGCATGAAAAAACAAAAAATGTAAACACCTGTGCCAAGTGATGTAATACTCCAGAAAAATAGAGACCGGGGTATACCCTCACCTGGAACAGATTCCAATCATAGTCGAAAACCCTTTCCAGCCATGCTTAGAATGATAAGGAAAAATAAACATAGAAGCTTTGTGGAGAGCAGCACACCCATCTAAAAAGAAAAAAAAAAAGAGCTGAATGATAAAAGCATGGAATGACCCCAAAGCAGATAAGCAATGAATATAAAAGGTAGGGACATTTAGAGATGAAACCATCCTCTGCCACATGTAAAATAAAGACAACAACAGAAAAAAAAAGACCGCCACATAAAGGAATTGAACACAACACTAGCCACACAATGATCAAGTAATAGTGAGTAACCAACCCAAACAATAAGGAATAAAAGGGAACCAACAAAACCAAGTATTACATCTCTATCAAATGCACAACAAAAAGAGAATAGTCAGAGAGAGGAATATAAAAAGTATTTAACTCTAACATAAGGAAGCCCCAACCAGTCAAACCTAAGCCCAACATGTTTGGTAGGAAGAAAGGATCCCATGAATTCCCTAAATCCATCAAATTGCAACCCAACTCAGCTAAAAAATCAATAACAGAATTACCTTTCCTATAAATGTGAGTAATAGAAAAATTAATGAACAAAAGCCATTGTTTAATTTCTATGATGGTATAGAAATAAGAGGAATTGTCATTAATTTTATTAGTAATGTAATGAATGATAAGCATAGCATCCACTTCAATCCAAAGATTAGTAATCCCAAGAGAAATATATAATTGTAAACCATACTTTAAAGCCTCAAGTTCAGTGAAAATGACGGTATTGACAGTCGATGGACCCGCAAAGGCCACAATGACCTGACCTTTAGCATCACGGATGAGACAACCACACTTAGCATTCAAAATTTTAAAAGCTCCATCTGTATTGAGTTTGTAATGACCTTAATAAAATTTAATTCATCTGACAATCATGTCTTTGCCAGTATGAATATTAGAAGGAAAATTGATACCAAATATTTATGTAATTTGAGAATAGCCATTAAAAGAACTCGTATTGATCAAATTAGCCAAATATAACTTTTTCACTTTATCTTAAATCTTAGAGATAATGCTCATGGCATTCATAGTAATATTCTCAAGCTTTGATTCATTTCTACTTTTTCGATGAAACCAATAGATAATAACATGTAAAATATTACGAATATAACCCTTAGAAGGAACATACCAATCTTGCATGATACTCTTAATGATGTTATAATCCTTAAAAAATTGGGCACTAAAAACATTATTAAAACACAACCACACTTTCAGAGCAATGGAGGCATTAGCAAAATCATGGTTCAAAGTTTCAATATGATAACAACATTGGCGTTTAGAAATAATGTAAAAACCCTTTTAGATAATAATCATATCCAGTTGAATGTAATTATTAAGAATTTTGTAAATAAGGATATAATAAGAAGCAAGAATACCTTTTGCTAAATGGTAGATAATTTTTTTTTTAGGCTGAACATTCGTAATAGAATGCCAAACTTCTTTGACAAAAAACCTCTCATCATTAGACTATTGAACAAAATGCAATCATTCTTATCAAGTTGAAGAGGAACTTTTAAAATGAGATTAATGACAAAATCAAGCACCATTTTAGAAAGATAATCCACATTCTAAGTCTCGTCTTGAATAAAATGAGAAACTATACAAGCACTCGTAGTATGGGTATTAAGTAAATTATCAATTCTCTAAAGGAAAATAACCACTTATTGGTGGCACATTCTGGTAGTTTATATGGCTTTTTCGTCAGTTTTAAAAATTACATATGGTTTTCCAGCGGTTCATGATCCGCCGGTATAAACCACGTAGGAAACGAATTGCGATGGTCATTTTTTAGTGGCTGAGTGTTCTGACGACTTTCCAATGGCTAGAACAGCCGGTAAATTCTGACAGTCAAAATGCCGGTGGCCGCCGGTAAATTCCCGGTGGCATACTGGCCATATTAAACCATCCGAAAGCCGATTTAACCACCGATAATTCTAGCGGTTCTTTGACCGTTAGTAATTGGTGATTATCTTGTAGTGATGGAAAAATAACCTAACCAATTGACTTGCTAGAAAAAGATGTTACCCCACCATAAACCCCATTGAATGAAATTCTAAGCAACCCATTTAATGGAGCACAACCTTTTCCAATTAAAAGAATCCTTTTTTTTTTTTTTTTGAAAAAAATAGTTGAGAGGGTGTTTACCAACACAATATTTATAAACCATAAAATTAGCCCAAAGGCTTTTTTTGGCCCTAAAATTAAACAAAAGTTTACAAGAAAAACAAAGAGCCACGTCATATAAGTTTTTAAAATCAATCTTAGCTTCATCTTGGACACCATAGTAGCTATGCCAAGAGGCCCATAATAAAGGAGATTTACCCTCATTTTCTCGCGAAAGAAATTTGTTTAAAATTGTTTCCAACCTACTACAAATATTTAAAGTTGGATATAATGTATGAAATAAATAGATAGAAGTAGAATAAAAGACACTCTTAATTAATACTAATCTACCCCCAAAAGGAAGAAAATTAAAAGCCAAGGTTGAAAACTTATTGTGAATGTTAGAAAAAAATGTTCCCAAATAAATGAGATCTCTTCTTACCCTTGAAAAGAGGGGTGCCTAAGTATTTAAGGGGAAGATGCTTGTGCAAAAAACCAAAATTGTTCTGAATAGAGATGATTCTCTAATTGGAGATAGACTTGGCAATGATAAAAATAGTTTTTTTCTAGGATTAAAAATTATTTCACTAGCATTTTGAAATTGACCAAGAGATTTAAAAAGGGTATTCAGCATTTTTCTAGAGCCATTAGTAAAAATAATAAAATCATCAGCAAAACTTAAATGAAATATAGGGAAGCCCCTATTAGTATGATACTATAAAGTGGGATGTTTTCTAAAAAGATCATTAAGACCTCTAGAATGAAATTCCATTGCAAAAACAAACAAAGCACGGGATAAAGGATCCCTCTGCCTAAGTCCATGACTAGAGCCAAAAAAACCATGGCTCTTGCTAATGATAATAATTGAAAAGAAGTAATGCTCAATAATATTTTTAATGATCCTAATAAAATAATTTTTGAATCCAAATAAGTTAAGCATATTATAAAGAAAATTCCAATTGAGATTATCATAAGCTTTGGTTATATATATATATATATATATATATATATATTAAAAATATCATTTTCACCAGAAATTCTAGCCTCCTAATCATGAACTAATTCTTGAAATAGTAAAACATTATCAAATATAGACAGACCTTTTAACACAACTTGTTTTCTCTAAAGAGATGACAGTAGGGATAATTAACGCTAATCTAGCCATGATCAACTTAGCATGGAGCTTGTTGAAGAAAGAACAAAGACTAACTTGATGATAATCACTCCAAAAATTCATGGCATCTATTTTGGAAATTAAAACAATAAAAGAAGAAGAAGTAAAAAATTTAGGATAAGGGTTACCCTTAAAGAAATTAATACCAATATTAACTAAATCATATTTAATAATATGTCAAGATTTTTTTAAAAAATTAGTAGAAAAACCAATCGGGCCAGCAACCGAATCAAAATTCATCTTTTTAATAATTAACCAAATTTTCTTAGCAGACAAAATTTTAGTAAGCATAGAGTTATCCTCTTATGATATAATAGAGGGAATAAAAAAAATCCAAATCCAAAATAGGATTGAATTTTTTCTTAAACACATTCTTAAAATAATTGATCCCCATCTTATAAATAAAATTAGGAGAGTCAAATTGAGAGCCAGCAGGATTATAAATTTTATGAATATGACCAGCAAATTTCTTATGATTAGCAATATTATGGAAAATTTTGGTGTTTCTATCACCCTCAACTAAGAATTTAGAAGCATGTCTTTGTTTCTAAAAACTTCTTCTTGCCCTAAAGTTTAAATAAGTTATCTTTAGCCTCATTCAAATAGGAAAGATTATCCAGAGAAGGATTGGTCAAATAGTTTTTTTTTTTTTGAAAATGCAAAATAACATTAAAGCAAAAGAAGGGGGATGAAAAAACCCAAAATACAAACAACTAAGTGGTAGAAGAGCTATCACATTCCTCCTTTAATAAAGACAAGAAGTAAGGAGGAATATTACCAGAGCTAGTGTCTTCCCAAATAAAATCACCTAACAAAGCCAAGTTAGCACAACAATCTGCTAACTTATTACAATCTCTATCCACCCAATTAAATAAGAAACAATAAAACTTTTTAAGAAAAGAAAAGTATTCATACCTATCATCATTGATCGGGAACGGTAACTTTACTTTAGCTTTTAGAATTTCCATCACATTTATACTATCACCTTCTAGTATAATTCCTTTTGAGTCCAACATCCAATCCTTGATGTTTTTGTTTAAAGGTTGAAATGCTAAAAGCTCCAAGCTCCATTGTCCCAATGAGTACTTTTGATTCCCAAAGCAAGGAGAAATCTACCTTTGTGATCTCTGAAAACTCCACCAATACCCGCTTCATTGGATCTCAATAAAGTTGCATCAAGATTCACTTTGATCCACTCGAGGGGAGGGGGATGCCAAGATTTAGAGAACAATCTCAAAGATCAATTAGCTTCCCAGTGATCCCGAATAGAACCAAATTTTAGAGCAATAGAAGTAGTATTGATGGCATTGGAGACAATAGAAGAAATTCCAGATTCTTTCCCTTCATGAATCATTTTATTTCTACTCTTCCAAGAGAAGAATGTTATTGTGCAACATAAATTTACAGCAAATAAATTTGTCTTCAACATGTTTTTCATAAACATGAAACATTCTGTCAAAGAATTAAGCATGGGAAGAGAAAATCCCCACCTATTAGTACATCCGATTGCCTCCTTCAGTTTATTGCAAGTAACTGCAATATGCTTAGAGTTTTCTACTTGATGAAATCCTCTAGGATAGATATAATCAATAGCCAATCTCCTAGATACAAGAAATTCTTTAGAAGGAATAGCATTTTTCCATAAACGCCACCAGAACCATTCCACCCGTGGATTAAGTTTAATTTTTTTGAACCTGCTCCATGAATCCGAACAATCCTCTGCTTTGGTTCTTGCAATAGCATCTATCGATTTGCCAGTAAATGATTTAACTAGTTCCAATTCATCATTTGAAAGTTCTGGGTATAGAGTAATCTGTTCAATTATCTTTACCAACTC